GGAGCCTGAGCCTGTGGGCGGAGCCTTGTGAATTTGGGTTTCCTTGATAACAGGATGGGGCCTAGGAACCAGTGGAGGGGCGTGTCCTGTCCCGGGAAGTGTGGGCTGGCTGACCGGATCCCAGGAAGTAGCAAGTCTTGTGCATGCGACCGAGAAACAACTCGAGTCCAATGATGGCATAAATGATGATGACGAAGAGCACTAGCAGTGCGATGTGCAGCAGTGGCACCAGTGCCTTCATGATGGAATTGAGCACTATGTGCAGGCCTGTGGGGAACGAAGGGAGGGCGAAGTAGGTATGGGGTACGCTCAGCTCCCCTACCTTTCCCCCCTCCCACCTCCAACTCCGGGGAGCGTTCCACTCACTTGGGACCCCAGACACCAGCCTCAGTGGCCGCAGCACCCGAAATGCCCGCAAAGCCTTCACATCGAAGCCCCCCGGCTTCCCCCCGGTATGCGGAGCGTCCCCAGGTCGTCCAGGGCCTTGCTCCAGTAGCACGCTGAACAACCTGGTGGGAGAGCAAGGGACAAAGCTGGGAGAGTGTCAGGCTTTGGCATCCCCTCCCACCCCTCCCCTCTCCTCAGGAAAGCACAAGTCCCTGTAACCAGAAATGCAAATAGACTTAAATATGTTAATATTCCTGATTCTGGCTGCCAAATGAGGGCAGTCTAAAGCAATCGCCTCCCTGAGTCCTGAATTCAGCGGGCCTGGGGTGGGAAGTTGAACTAGGGTGGGGCAATCTTCCACAGACGCGCACCCGACCACGACGATGATGAAGTCGAGCAGGTTCCAGCCATTGCGGATGTAAGCGCTGGGATGGAGCACCAGCCCGTAGGCCACGATCTTGAGCACCGTCTCCACAGTGAAAATCACCAGGAATACGTACTCTACCTGCTCCTGGGGGTGGAGCCGGAGATTGGGGAATTATTTGGTTTGGGGATTGAGGGGGGTGGGGGAGGGGGGTATAGCTGGTTCTGAGGGTGGGGTTGGGCAGGGGAGGATCATCATCTGGATCAGAGCTGGGCGAGGCCTGGCTGGAAGGCTTGAGGTGTGGTTCTACTGGGCTTGTATCTGACTGGGGGCGGGGCAGGGCAAGCCTCACCAGGTTGTGGTTGGCAGTGTTGGAGTCATCTTCTGGGAAGGGGATATAGACCCCCAGGGCTACGCAGTTGGCAAAGATGGTCAGCAAGATGAGAATGTCGAAAGGCCTCAGGTAGACGTAGTCAAGGACCCAAGCAGAGCAGCCTCAGAATGCCTACATTCTCTTGGGGCCCTCTCCACCCACTGCTCACCCTTGACCCCAAGGTGACCACCCCTGACATTCCCAGCCCCTGTCCTGACCAAGGCCTTGACTCTGAACCCCCCTCCCCCCTCCTGGAAAAGTTAGCCATCTTCAACTCTTGCTGTGATGTAGTCCTTGACCCTTGACCCCCCTGGTGACCTCCATTTCCTTAACTCCCCCTTGGAGCCAGTTCTTGACCCTTGATCCCTGGTGAACTTAGCCCTCCTCCATTCCAGCCCTGACCCAGTCTTTGACTCTTGGTACCCTGATGACCCTCACCCCTAAGGTCTGCCCTAGGCCTTCCAGGATGCTTCCATTCTACGATGCTGATGCAAGACCGCCGCAGAGGGTTGGCCAGGGTGAGGCAGAAGAGTGCCCGGGGTGACCTCTGGGCACTGGCCGCTGCGACCGTCTTGTGCTTACTATGCTGAGTCCTTCGCTTAGGGGTCCCCAGGCCCAATGTTACGCCGATTTCACCCCCTGATTCTGGAGGCCCAGAGCACAGGCCCCATTCGGGACCAGGGCCTGCCCCATTGGCTGGACTGGGCTCTTGGGTGATGTCTGTGTAGAGAAACCAAGTCAGGAGGAACAAGTCATTGGAGAAATCATGGCTACCTCCTATCTGATCCTGTCCCTCTGTCTGAGGGAAGGAGAAAAGAGCATGTAAAATGAGGAAGAGTTGGGGTACCTGGATTAAAGATTAGGGGGTAAGAATTGATGTTGGAATCGATTGGGGGTAGAGTGAGAGTTAATGGGGGAGTGAGAGTGAGATTATCTTTACAAGAGAAGTAGGGTTTGGTGTTAGACTTGGGAGCAGAGTTTAAGTTGGCATGGGGTATGATTAAGTTTATAGCTGGAGGCAGATTTAGGGTTAAATTCAAGTGGTGGATTTTTGGGTTGGGTTTAAATACAGGTTGGTGTGGAGTGTGCTTGAGTCCTGATTTAGGGTTAGGACTGGGTATTTGAATAAGCTGGGATTAGAATTAGGATCAAGGTTAGGGTTGAAGCTGAGTTTGCATGGGATCTGAAGTTTGCATTGGAGTTTTCAGCTAAGAGCATTCCCAGTTCCCATGACCTTGTTTCAGTCTCTGAGGGGCAGTAGACTGGCCTGGTTAAGATCCCCAGCTTTGGAGGAAAGAAGCTGTCTGAGTTTAAATTCTGACTCTACTACTTGGTAGCTGTGTGTGGCCTTGAGTAACTTACATAACCTCTCTGAGCCTCAATTTCCTTATCTGTATAATGCATTATAGGGTTGTGAGGATTAAATGAGTTCAGCATTCAGAAGACTGTTTGGCACATAGTATTCTCATTTTGCAGGTGAGGAAATTGATACAAAAAGAGAGGTTAAATGACTTGATGAAGTGGCTGAGTTGGGAGTCAAACCCAGGCAGTCTTTGACTTCAAGCCCTCATGACTTACTACCACAATTGAGTGTGTGTTTTTGCTTTCTAATTTTTTTTTTGGTCCTAAAAATGGGTCTGTACTCTTTCCAGAAAGTCAGAGGCATATTCACTAATAAATAGTATTTCCATTCAGGGGTTGGGGTTGAGGTTAGGTGACTTTAGAGCTCATGATAAGGTCTGTATCAGTGTTGGGATTTGGACTCTAACAAGGATTTGCCCTCTGGTCGGTAAGGTTTGTGTTAGGATTAGGCTTGGAGCTGGTTTTGGAGTTGAAGTTGGGGTGGGAGCTAGGAGAGGAGTCAGGGCCCGGATTGGGGTTGGGTTTCGGCTAGGAACTGGCTATGGATGGGGCTGGGAGGCCATAGGACACAGTGTCTGGGTCAGGCTGAGCATCAGGGCTCAGTTGGCATTAAGGCTGTGTTTGGGGATGGCTGGGATGGGAACAGGGTGATGTGGTTCTGGTCCCCTAGTGGTTCTCCAGGGGTGGGGTTCCAGTAGGCAGTGGGTGGGTCAAAGGGGCCAAGGGTAGAGCAGAGCCCAGGGTTGTTCAAAGGGTCTGCAGGGGTGGAAGGCTGCTCTCACCTTTCCCGCCTTCAGATGCCGACATCTTCCTTTCGAGGTTGAAGAGCCATCTGCAAACAGCCCCCCTCTATTCCTCCAGCTTTGGAGAGATTAAGGTCACAGGGCGGGGCCATAACAGGGTTGGATGGGATTGTGAACAGGGGTGAAGATGGGACATTTGTAGGCCAGAGCCTGGCAACAAAAAAGGCACTGATTTTTAAAAGTATTTTTACAAAATATGTACCGGCACCAAACAGAAACTAAAATAAGAAAAGTGATATCATTTTCTCAACAGTATTTGAAATTTGAAGTACATAGGAACAAATCTAACATAATATATGTGCAAGATCTCCATAGAAAAAAGTTATCAAATATTATCAAGTGATTAAAGGGGACCTAAATAAATGGACAGATATGTTAAATTAATTGAAATATCAAAACTGTGAGGCTGTCAATTCCTCCCAAAGTGATCTAGAGATTTAATGCAGTCCCAAACAAAATCTCAGGAGATTTTTCCATGGAATTTGACAAAATGATTCTAAAATGTATATGGATATACAAAGGACCTAGAAAAGCCAAAACTCTTGGAAAAAGAAAAAGATGGGAGGACTTATATCAGACATCAAGGCCTGTTATAAACTACAGTAATAAACAGAATAGAGTTTCAAACCTGAGCCCCACATATATGTATGCATGATTTATGACAAATGTGGCACTACTGAGCAGTGGAGACAGGGTATGAATGGTGGTTACGTGGATATTTACTGTGTAATTATTTTTTTGAGAGTATATATATGTATTACGTATTAAAGCATTTATTGAATGCATGAATACTTAGAAACTACAACTTACATAGTGTTTTCTTACTGTGTTGTGTGTGAGGCACATAGTACAATTTGTATTCCATGAATTAATTCTGTTTTAAACCTAGGAAGCAGGTACAATAGCCCCTCCCTTATCCATGGGTGTACATTCCAAGACCCCCAGTGGATGTCTGAAGCAGCAATAGGACCAAACCCTAGATATACTATGTTTTTTCTTATGCTTACATAGGAAAGCACTTTACAGCTTCTCTTTGGCATGTCCAAATTGCCAGCATCACTACTCTTGCACTTTGGGGCCATTGTTAAGTAAAAAAAGGGTTACTTGAACTCAAGCACTGCGATACTGCACAGCGGATCTGATAACAGAGAAGGCTACTAAGTGACTAATGGGCAGGTAGCCTATACAGCAAGGATGTGCTGGATAAAGGGGTGAGTCACGTGGCAGGGGGGGGTGGGCAAAGCCTGCGGCGGGAGAATTTTATCACACTACTCAGAATGGCTCGCAATTTAAAACTTATGAATTATTTATTTCTGTAATTTTCCACTTAATATTTTCAGATGGCTGCTGATCTCAGGTAACTGAAACAGCAGAAAGTGAAACCATGGATGGGGAGGAGGCTACTGTAGTCTTATTATACAGATGAGAAAACTAAGACATAGGGAAACTATGTAACCTGCCCCCGATTGCACATTTAGCAAGTTGAACTAAAGATCTGAGCTAAAGAGCTGAGACTCAGTCCTAGTCCCTTTGTGCTCAAGCCCCTGCCCTTAACTCTTGCAACTGTAATCTAGAAGTTGAATGCTGTCTTAAGTGAATGAGTCAAGAAGCCACTCTCCGTCCCGCCCTCCCAACACAGTCACGCACGCGCGCGCACACACGAAACACGCGCGCGCACACACACAATATATTCCTTTGCTCACTTGGAAGAGCCCACTGGACCGTAGGCGGAAGAACTACAACTCCTAGCAGCCATTGCGCGTTCACGCTGCGCAAGCACATTCGTACCAGGATGCAAGCCTTTCGCTGCATTCACTGTCGGAACTACACTTCCCGGCTCTCCAGTGGCAGCCCGTGACACTCCTTGGACCCCAAGCGCAGAGCCGGGTTTCAACAGCTGCGCCTCTCCTGACCGAACCCGGCCCTGGACCTGGCCTCACACTCGAACACAGCTCCACCATGGAGGAGGCGGACCGAATCCTCATCCACTCCCTGCGCCAGGCCGGCACGTAAGGACAGAGCCCCCACCCACCCCAGAATGCCCATATCTGGGATTCCAAAACTCCGGACCCAGTCACCCGGGAACCTTAGAACCCTGGACCTTGACATCCAGGGCTCTAATTTCCAGGACCATAAACCCTCCTTCCTCTTACATGCGCGCGCGCGCGAACACACACACACACACACACACACAACACACACACACACACACACACACACACACTAACATCAGGAGCCTCCCGAACCCGACACTTGATAAACCCCACACTCAAGGACCCAGACACCTTGAGACCTTAAAACCTTGGAACCTCGAGACCCAGGAACCTGAAATCTGTGGCTCTTGACATCAATACCCTGGGACCCTGGTATCTGGAGATTCTTAGACACTTGTATCCTCAGAACCAGAGAACTTAAAAAACCAGGGACTTCAAAAAACCTGGTAGTGGATACCTGGGAACCTCCAAACCCTGCTTTCCCAACATCTGAGGCTTTTAAAACCCCAGACCCTAAAATCTGGAGGCCTCAGTGCTTGATGACTTGGACACACAGGACTCCTGCATTCCAGGGCCCTAAAAACCCAGGATGCCAACATTTAGGGAGCCTGATTTCTGGATTGCTTGAAACTAGGTGGTCTTATTATCCAGGGATCTTGAATTCAGGGACCCTGACATTTGGAACTTCTGAAAACCCTAGCTTCCCAACATCTAGTCCCAAAACCCAAGCAGTTCAATATCTAGGGTCTTCTGACATGCAGGAAACACTATATATGGAGACCCGGAAAACCAGAGATCATGCTACATGGGCCCCTTATCCTTCCTGACCACAGAAATTTGGGGCTTTTAAGCGTAGGGAAATTGGAGATTTTCTCGACTTAGATCCCTTCCATCCATTATTCTCTTACACCAAGTTCTTAGGACCTGAGGACTTCCTCAGTTCTTAGTTTCCAAATGGAAGTCACATTCATCAACACTCAGGACCTGTCTGAACCATGGCCATCCTCCTCCCCCTACACTAGTCCTCGGGCTTCCAGAAGGCAGCCCAGCCCAGCCTAATCCTTGTTTCCTGAGTGTTCCGCACATCAAGACTGTCTCCTTCTTCTTCAGGGCAGTTCCTCCAGAAGTGCAGACCCTGCGAGCCTTCACTACTGAGCTGGTTGTAGAAGCTGTTGTCCGCTGCCTTCGTGTGATCAACCCTGCTTTGGGCTCTGGCCTCAGTCCCCTGCTGCCTCTTGCCATGTCCGCCCGTTTCCGCCTGGCCATGAGTCTGGCTCAGGCCTGCATGGTGAGTGCCCTCCTCTCAATACACACGGCCTCTTCCTTCCTCCTTCACAAATTCACCAAGCTCCTTTGAAACTCTTGCCTTTCCTCTCTATCACCTCCCCTTGTGGCTTAGCATTAAGGCCGCTGGCTCTGTGGTCAAACTGCCTTAGTGGTTCAGACCCTCACTGCAAAACTTGCTAATCGTGTGACCCTAACCCTTCTGGGCCTCAGTGTCCTTCCTTATCTGTGAAATCGAGATGATAAAATTAGGGTTGTTATGAACATTAAATGAGTTGATCCAGTTTGTACCTGAGCTGCCTCTACCTCAGGCATTTTAAGCTTAGCACCAGGAATTTTCCCCCTATAGTATCCATTTACCAGTTCCAGAAAAGGCTCTGCTTGGTTCACATGCTCATTCCTGAGTTAACCACTGTGTACTGTGATTGGCTACTCTTTCAGGATCACATGGAGTTGGGGTAGGGATGGTTATCCAAAGGAAGATATGCTAGTTAACCAAAACAGTGTGTGCACTTTTGCACTAACACTGCACTCTGCCCTGTGGCAGCCACACATATCCTGCCTCTTATGAGAATAATTCCAGAACTGTCTCTACATAGATAATGTGCCTTCTGATGAAGCATTATGCCTCCCCAGTACAGACCTGTGTCCAGTTACTAATCTAGGGATTCTCAGTAATGCCATTTCTCCTGGCTCACTAGCTCTGTGACTTTGGGCTGGTCTCTTAATCTGTTTAGGCCTATTCTTCATGTGTAAAGTGGGTGTGATAATTGTAACTACCACATAAAGGTACTATGAGAATTAAAAATGAGTTAATATATGAAAAGCTGGATATAATAAGCTTTGTGTAAGTGGTATTACTATTATTGGGTAGGTCTGATCTGGCTGCTTGCATTCCAGCAACCTGCGGCTACATAATTAATGTGAATATGTCCAACATACCCAGTATATCATGGTAGAGGGTCAATAGAGTAACTACAGTGAACACTTCCACTTAAACCCAGGGGACAGGGTGGTCAAGTTTCTTGAATTTGGACCTTACCTGTGCAGCGTCTGTCTCTTAGCAATAGGTCTCAGAGTTCTACCCATCTCTTAGCTCTCATATTCACCCAGCTCTCAGGAGTTCTCAAGTTCTTCTGACTGGGCCTCCTGGTGGCCTTATGAGGCAGGCAGTCTGTCCCGTGTCCCAGGGCTGTATTCTTGAGGATGGCACTTGATAAAGGGGAAGTTATGTCCTCTATTTGGCAAGGAGAGTGCATAGTGGGAGATGTTGAGGGGCAGGGGTCAGTTTCCCCAGTTGTGTTCCTCTTTTTTCTTAGTGCTGTCACCCACCGGATTTAGTGCTGACTTGCTTTTGCTCACACTAAATTTAGTGTGGAGCCTAGAGTATAGCTTTTTTAGTGATGAAGGGGCTTGTGTGGTTGTCTGGCCTCAGAGCCTCGGTTGTCTGCAGCAGGCAGAAAGGGTGTCTCTTAACCCAGTTGAGTGCTGCCCCTGGAGCCCACCTCTGTTCAGCACTGCCACCTTCTGGTGTCTGCCTTTTCATGTGCCACCACTATTCCTGACACCACTTTCTGCGACTCAGCCACCTCCATATTTTGGTGTCTGTCACTTCACACACCTGACTCCTAGAATGAGTTTCTGTATCAGTCACAACTCTTTGATTGCAGGTATTGAAAAAAACCCAAAGTAGCTTAAAAGCCAGTGGTTTTCACACTTTTTTTTGACTGTGACCCAGTACACACATATGTGTATAATAATGAAGTTTTCCGAGTGCGTACTCTGTGCCAGGTACCATGGTAACATGGTGTAAACTCATTTAATTCTCATGACGACTTTCTAAGGTAGGTACTGTAGGTACCTGTTTGTATTCCTTTTTTTCACATGAGGAAAATGAAACACAGAGAGGTTAAATGACTTGCCTGAGGTCACACAGTTGGTAAGAGGTAAAGCTTAGATAGGAACCCAGGAAAGTCTGATTTCAGAGTCCATGAAGCTCCCGACGAACAGCAACTCTGACATAAAAAGGCTTTCTTTCTGGGCTCAATTCTCAGTCCCCACCCAGAACCTTGATGGGCCCTTTTCTCCCTTAGCAGCCACTA